AGCTTGTGGAGTTGTCCTGGCCCCCTCCAGGAAAGGTTGGGGGATAATAAACAAACTGTCTGCAGAGACAGAAACACTTCTGCTCACTGATGGCAAGAATTTTGATTTGATAAGTGTTTTGACCCTTTGAAGTATTTGTGTGGTTTCCCTGAGGACTTGCTATTCCTTTCAGTTGAAAATTAGCTGTTGCTTTATATAGATATTTGGGATGTAATGTAACTTTTTAAAACAATCTTGTAAATATTGTTGTGCATCTGAATTTCAGTAATTTAAAAAAAAACCCAAACCTTTAAATATTTATATTTCCTCCGTGGTTCCCTCTCCTGGTACATTCTGTACATTTTAAAAGCGATACTGATCTCATACTTTCTGTTCCTATGTACAGAAGGACCAACAGCGGTCTACTGGAAAAATACTGAGTTGAGTTAACCAGCAGCACAGGTCAATCAGGCTCGTATTTCCTGAGAATGAATGACAGTAGAATTACAAACACTGTATTTCAGATTCTGTGGCACTCTTGTTCAGTAACAAAGTTTATAAAATCAATGAGAAATACCATAAACCAGTGATGGTCCTGCTTTAATATGCTTTTCTGATCCAGATCCTCACTTCAAATTTCACTTAATTACGTAATACTAGTTATAATAATATAGAAATAAGTTCTAAAGTTCTATTAATATTTTACAGAATTTTTTGGTGGGGTTTAAGTTGTATAAACTATATGATTTTAGACACAATGATTTGAGATACATTAAAATAGTGCCACATAAACTGACGTTATTTTAGTACTGGTCTGGAACTTCAAACAAGTTTAAGTAGTGTGGCTTCTTCTTCCTTTCTGAAGTGTATAGAAGGAGTTTTGTTTCTGACTCTGATGTCAGTACATGACTGACAGTCCAGTTTGTAGTGAGTATCAACGTAGGAAAATTGAAAAATACAATGGTAAAGTAAATTACAGAAAGAAGCAAGATAAAGGACTGCAGCTAATAGGGTGAGTATCATACCTGGCCCTCATTGCTGTCCTCTGCCAGTGGTGGTATGTATCTACCTCTTTCTGAAGAGTGCATTTGTCAGCTCACAAGGTATTTGGGACATTAAACCATTTTGGAAGAATAACTGAGTGAAAATAAGCTGCAAAAAGTTTTCAGTGCTTTACAGATTTTGCTTTGGTTGCAGTAAGTGATCTGCACATAAGTTTGTGCAGCTCACAAACAGAGCCTTAAGCCACCTTTTGCAAATCCCCCCGATCATTCAGGTTCAGATTGCTGCTGTAGTTCCTGACCTGAGTGATGGGTGCCCTTAGAAAAAAAACTGTAGGAACTTGCGATGTTATACGTAGTTTTGTTAAAACTTGGAGTAGAAATAAAACCTTTCACCAGAGCCCCAGACTTGCATCTCTTCAGGAAGACAGCCCGTAACTTCATAACTGAAGAGTAAGTAGATAGCCAGCATTGACTTTATGGCTGAAGAGTAAATAGGTACCTAGCATTGACTTTTTTAACTTTGGAAAATTTTTTGGTCACTCCAAAAATAATGTCTGAGTTGGGAGCACTGGATGTGTTGCCTCATGCACGGGCAGAAATCAGTATTTTAGTGTGCCTTGTTATTAAGATTTACTGAGCTATTACATTTATTTATTGCATGTTATTTTCTAGGGCACCTCATGTAATTTGTAAATGTACTCATTCTTCATAATCCTTGACAGAAGTCTTTTTCCATTTCACCATATCCCTTCAACGGTTCAGGTTCTCTCTTGCTTAAGGTCTGTTCTGTTTAAAAGTATACAATATTTAGGAAAATTATTTTGGGGGTGGGGTGGAAAAAGAGCACCCTCTCCAGTTTCCTTTTTTTTAAGCTAAGAGACTGTTAAATAAAAGCCAAATTCTACTTTCCCTGGGGAAAAAAAGATCAGAGAGTATGAAATCTCTCTCATTCTGTATGCTGAGAGCTTTGCTGAGTATCTCCCAGGCTCTAGTAATGTCTCTTCAGGAGCTGTCTGCCTGCATAGCCATGCATGCTGCACTATTGTCTTAAAATTAGAGTTAAATGGAACCAGAAGCAATACTGTGGCTGCTCCCATTAGTATGAGGGAATTCCTTGCTCCCAAAAATGAAATATATGAAAGAATATCAGACATCCACAGCTGAAGGTTGCATGAAAAATAAAGGCACTGAACTGCAAATCTTGGGTTCTACCACTTGTTGAAACGAGCTTGTCAGGTTTGACTTTGAGCACCCATCTGAGACTAAACCAACAGATATCCTCATTATTTTGCAGATTTGCCAGAAAAGTGTTGATACCTTTTTTTCCCCCACACTGTCTGTCCCAACAAAAGTAGTATTAAATAGTACATAGATGCAACATAGATGTTTCTTTCTACTTTTCTTGCATTGAGCAAAGAATGCAAACTTACAGTTTTCAAACCATCTTAAGCAAGAAGAATCTTCCACTCTTGATAAAACACATTGCTGCACGCAGAAAGCCTCTTGATAGCTATGCTTGGAAATTTTTCTGGTTAAACAGAATGCAGTATATCAAAATGTTCTGACAGGTTGTGTTGATACCAGCAGACATTGTGGTGTGGTGCAAGTAGGGACTTTATTGTGTTGTCTGCCAAATTTGGTTGATGACTTGCTGCAGGAATGGCTCAGTGTTTCCACTTTGAGATGTATTATGAAATTTAATAGAAAAAAAAGTGGGCTTTTACCAGTTGCACCATAATATGGTAACTTCTCAAAACCTTGAAATATTTAACTTCTTTTTTTTTCCTGGTGAGCTTTATTTACCAGTAGTGTCTTACGTCCTCTCTTTTAATCTGGGTGATTTAGAAACAAGCTAAAATATTTTCATCTAGAAGTCAGCAGTGAGGGCAGTACTTGGGCCAGTGTGTCCTGGAGATAGTGCCTGTTCTTGAGTGAATAACCAGTCTGTATGTATAAGCTCTTCAGTCTGTAGATAAGAGGTTTCCAGACATGTCTGCAGTACTCACCTTGATCTTATTTTCTGTAATATCTGATGCTTTTATGTCACCATTTGGAAAAATTCTGACCTACGTTAGATTGAAGTGCAGACAGCTTGTAAGCCAGGTGGGTTTTTCTCTTTGCTTTTGTTTTCATCAAATGTTAAAAAGCAGTCTAATCTTTGTCAGATTGCTCTTAAAATGAGATATTCAGATCCCATAAAACTTGTATTCTGTTTCTGTCCTACAAATATCATATCGAAGTTGGATTGCGTGCATCTTTGCAGTACCCTGATTTCATTGTATCATTGATTTTGTCTGCAGCTATGAAGATTAGAAACATTTTTCTCCTTTGGAGTTTTGGGCAATCATTTGCATCAGAGGATGTGTCTCAGCTTCTTGCACCTTTATGATCAGCCAGGGGAGCCTCATCTAGTCTCTTTCCTTTTGCTCCACCAAGTTCTCCCTCCACTCAGCACTCAGATAAGCCTAGTCCCTTCCATGCTCTTTATGGTCTGGGAGAAAGAAAATCGATGGCATACCTGTGGCGGGAGTATTTGACAGACGCTGTGGTCCTTCAGAAATGGGACAATATAAGTCCACCTATCAGTAGCTAATATTCTGGGTTTATTTTTGGTGGCACTTGAGTGAGTTCCAGTGGTGCCTTCAGCTCAAGGCCAGGCACCCAAAGGTGTTGCACAGTTTAAAGCCGTGACATTTAAGTAGAACACAAATGTGCTCTTTATTTGTAGCCTTTACTTTTAAAATTTAATGACTTGTTTTTATTTTGTGTGTGTGGCAGAAATCTCAAAATAATGTGTTAATGTAGCTAGTGGGGAAATAAATTTAATGGAGTCTTCATGTCACTATAGTGGTTAAACTTCAGTTATAGATACTTGACCTTTTGAAGAAGAAATTTTAGTGTGACTGAGGACTTCCATCATGATGAACTAAAGATGGGATTTCTTGGATTTTTGTTTTGTTTTGTTTTTTGATAATATAAGTCACATTTTAACTCAAGAAAAATACCCGATTTTCATGGTTGTGCAAGTGCTAACTAATAACTGTAGTGGCTACTTAAATGTAAAAGTAAAATTAATTTTTTATTTATATATGTATGTGTGTTTAATGCTGTTTACAACTTGAAAATAAGGAAGACATTCCAGTACCTAATAAGTGTATTTATATCTAACATTGATGCTAATAATATGCTGGTCTATTATGTCATTATTCACCTAGATGTTCCAGAAAGTTGGCTGGCTTTTCTTTAATTTCAAGGGTTTTTCTGAATATTGCTACAGGAAATTTCAAGGGAAAAAATCCATCTTTTTTTTATTGAAACTTTAGCAGACTTTTCATCCTGAATCTCAACCAGCATTAGTTTCTAGTGGGGATCTAGCAATAAATGTGCTTTTCTCTACTCTCAGCACAAAACCTGAGATTAATTTTGCTGTGAAGTATCTTTAGATCTTAATTAACACTGAAGTTACTCATCCTGGTAAGAGTATCTGGTAAGACAATGCCTAAATATCCTATTCTATTAAATCCTCAGGTATTAAGAAGGAGATAATGCATGTAGTACTTTTAACTTAAAGCCTATGCTGTAGATATGCAGTAATTTAAGTTAATAAACAATTGCACTGTAGAAGAAGGAGTTGGAATTGGAGAGAGTTGTGTTAAATATGGGGAAATGAGGTGCAGTATGTTTTCTCATTCTCAGTGTTTTCTGTAATGTCTTTAAACATGATATTGTCCAGTGAAACACTGGTACAGCGACAGGTGTAACGGAGCTATTCATGAGCTAAAAGACTGGCTTGCTGCAGGAAGTGCAGCCTAAACAAAACTGGACTGAAATAATTCAAGGTCCTGTGGTGAAGTCCTGGAAGGCTGCCAAACTACGGTTTCTTACGCAGATATTAAGTACATTTTAAATTAATTATCTTCTCTTCATAACAGTATATCTACTACATATTATATTTTATTAGCATTGCCTTACAGATGCTCATGGTTATTTTCCGTATTTCTCTTCCCCCCACCTTAGTGGAATCGGTCGAAATTGGCCATGGGCCTCTGGCGGAAGCAGCATTTTGGCAGAATTTGGGACTTTGCATCTGGAGTTTGTACACTTGAGCCACCTGTCTGGAAACCCTGTCTTTGCTGAAAAGGTTAGACTGTTCGGTCAAAATCGTGTTGTAAAAAATAAACCATGTGTTGGGAGACTAATATCTCTGGGGAGAGGTTTGGATTTTCCTCAGTTGTAAGCATTTGTCACAGGAGGTAGATATTTTCTACATGTTTCCCTAATCACCTTGCCATGTTTTTGTGTTATGAAGTCAAAAATCTGTTCCAAAATCATTGTGATGCATCTTGTATATAGCACTTACCCAGCCCCATAAAAAAATATCATTTCTGTTTATGTTCTAAATTATTATCACATTAAACAAATCAGATCATAGAGCTTTCTTCGCTGCTTTACCTGAATGTGGTGAAAACAAAAATTGACATTAAATTGGGGGTAATATGTGATGCCTATAGAAAGCAAAACACCACGGCTACCTTGTTTGATTTCAGCAAGTTTAGCCTTCAAAATGCTGTATCATATCACTGCTATCAGTGAGGTCAGAAAGCCTTTCCACTGCACTGACCTTTATGAAATGTGCTCTGAACTTTCTTTGCGGGGAAGAAAATAACCAAAAAAATATCCTTTGGCAAAATAGTTGTTTTGGTACCATTGTCTTCCGGACACTATTTATGTAAGCCATAGAAAGTAACTCTTCTTCCCCCAGTTCCCACCCAAGCAATTTTGCTTTGCTTTTTGGTACATAAGTAGTCTATGGATCTTGTTCTTTATAATACGCTGTATTGGATTTTGTTGGGGTTTGTTGGTTTTTTTCTTCATTAAAACATCCACTTGTTTTGGTTTTGTAATCTTAATTCAAGTAAAACACACCATGTCCAACTGGCCCATATTAGCTAAAACTGATATTATCTACCAAAAAATCTAATTAATAAGAAGACTCCAAATGTTTAGCAATAGGTTTAAAAGCAATGGTCAAATCTAAAATGAATACTAATTGTAGCACACTTAAAGGACTGGATGACTTTGCTGAGATACCATTGTCAGCACTGGATGTCCTAGCAATTTGAATGAAAGACACAGCTTCTCCTAAACAAATCTGAACTGGGGCAGGTGGGCAGGCAGTACCCACAAACAACCAGAAACAAACTTATTAGGTAACTTAATTATCTTATGACATTTATGATAATTTAATGTATAACATCTGTTCTATTAAGAGACAATTAAAGTGTGATGAAATTGTGTGTGTGTTAAAAATCCTTGCCTATGGTTCTTTTCCAAATGGCATTGAGGTATAGCTACAAGGTGCTGGAAATCTGTTGATGTAAGCTGCTCTTAAAACCCTTTAGAGATTGCGTTTCCACAGCCCTCCTAGGCAAGCCATTCCAGGGCTGGTATGCTCAATATAGAAGAAGAAACACTAGAATAAGCTTTGCATGGAAGTATTCATAGAAGAATTCATTATGAGGTCTAGGATCCATTGCAGCCTGTGTTTGGGCAATGACTGTTAGCAATGTGGTGTCAAGATGCAGAAGGCAGTTCATGTACCACAACAGAAATCCTTCTGCGGCTTGGTGTAAGCCAATTTATCTTCTTTCTCAGCAGCTAGCTCAGTTGATCTCTAGGCATTCAGGGTGTTATAATGAAGCTCTGAGTACCTTTTTATTACAATTTCTGGTCCGTCGTGCTTAGGATCCTCATTCTCCCAAGTTGCTACGTTTGCTTTTTCTGTGAATGTTAAAATTCAGTATAAATTATTTCATGTGCTCTGCAATGGATTGTGCTGCTGGATGACTCCAGCTGCAGAGCATCTGGACTGTAATTGTTTCCCCAGGCCTCTCATTTGTAGCGAGCTCCTTAAGAGTGCCGCCAGAGCACTCAAGGCTGTGTGGGTTCCTGCTGGGCAAGCTGGTTGTATGAAGCTCAGTTCCAGCAGTGCTCTCTTTTTCCAGGAAAAACTGCTTTACAATTCACTTCTGCATCTGAACTAGGTGATAGGCTTAATATTTAATACCCTTTCTGATTTGGGTATATGAGGAATATAATGCTGAAGTAGCTGAGCTTAGTTAAGGCAACTAGCCTCTGCAAATTTCAGTATCCTGGGGAGCGGCAAGATACTCTGTATAGCAAGTCCTGAACTTTGGAGCGAGCTTCTGTTGTGTTGTTTCATTACCATCATTCAACGCAGAAACTCTTCGCAGAGCTCATTTACGTAATATCAGCTTAGAGAATCTTTTTTAATAGTAATATGGTTGTACAGAGGTATTCAGACATAGAGTATACATGTTGAATAAGTGGTTTTTCATTTTTAGGAATATTTGCACATTAAGACTTTTGTACCAACACTGTTTTATTTTGGGGGAAAAGGGATCAGTGCTCAGTGTTTTGTACCCTTCCAATAGGTAATGAATATTCGAAAAGTTCTCAATCGACTGGATAAACCAGAGGGCCTTTACCCCAACTATCTGAATCCCAGCAGTGGCCAATGGGGCCAGCGTAAGTAGATCACTTCTTTGGTACTATGACCTGTCATCAGTGTGCTGTTTGCAGTCATTAACTTCTTTCAATCACTGTTTTTTGTGTATAAATAAAGAACTTTTATAAAGTATAAAAACTCACATTATATCTGAGGTTCTATACAATGTAAAAAAATACCATGAATATAAAAAATAATAATCTTACTTGCTGTATTTTCATGTACTTTTCTTTGATCTTGCAGTATGGCTTGTGCAAGCGGGAAATGTCTGAATATGTGTCATTTTGGAAAGGAATTCGTAGACTACAGAAGTCTTTTATTCAAAATCTAAAGTGCTCTCTAAAGTAGCTGTTTAAGGAAACATTATCAGCTCGTCTGAATCAAATTCCATATTTTTAGAGTGGTGTGGCTCCACTGAAGATAAAAAAAATAGAAAAAGTCTTTCCAGTTAATACCAGCTGTGATTTCTGTTGAAGTTTAATGCCAACAACTGAGGAAAATAACTAAACAGAACTGTGTCATGGCATTAATTCCCTTGGAACCATTACTGGAGGCACCAAAATTAGAAGGGAAATCGTATAATAAAATGCTTAAAGTATTTGAACTTCTTAGACCCTTCCTGATGACTGAGCCTTTTCTTGTTGTACATTGTTGTACATTGCCTTCTTCGATCTTCATAACATGTTCAAAGCCTACATAGTGTGCAGGATCACAATTCTAGAGAACGTACTTCTTCTTTTTCCACTTTTCTAATATAATAGTTTGTTTAGGATGCAGCTGAGGTGCAAGTGAGGTTGTGGAGTCCTGGAAGTGTTGCTCCTACAGCAATAGGCACTGGATTTGGTTAGAAGGCCACCTCAGCATCTCTGAGCCAGGTCCAGTTACCTCCTTCGTTGGCTTCAGTCAGCCACCGAAACTCAGCTTTTTGGTACAGCTCACCAAAAAGCTGAGAGCAGATGTTTCTAGTGGTTGACACTGTTAGTGGCTCTACCTTATTTATTTTAAAGCAGTCAAATACTTACTCTGCCTTACGGCCTTCACCATTTCCCTATTTTTAATATAATTGTGTCTTATGTACTCCTCGTTCACATTAAATGCCAGTTTTTGTTGGTGTGTACAGGAAAACTTACAGTTTATACCAGATTTGCTTTCCAGTAGCGTGTAGTATTGACAAATAAATAGCTTCCTGCATATGCAAATGATGGACGCAGATGTGGACACAGACGTGGACACAGGTCAGCCTCTAGCAAAAGCAGCAAAAGCAAATTTGATCATCTTGCATCTCTTCCGAAGTTGCCTCCATTCGCAGACACTGATTTTTTTTTTTTTCTTCCCATAGCAGAAGATCAGAATGTAAGACTTGAGAGATGTTTTATTTGAGATTGCTTTTCCAGGCTGTTTTCAGTTGATTACTACAGGAAAAAAAACCCTACACCCTTAATTGGTAGAAGACAGAAGTATTATCTCTCAGACATCAAGTGGGGAGGAGGGGAGAATAGTTTCTTCTCTAGCAATGCTGTAACTGTGAAGGACACTCCTGGATCACTGCCATTGTTCCTGTAAATTCATTTAGCCCTTGTTATTTTGACAGTAAACTGACAGTGATTTGCTGCAGCGTGCGTCAATTGGATTTGTCTACTGCAATAATGTATATAATAACAGGGCTTATTATTGATGAAACTGTGCTTGTGCTATTTAGTTTGCAAATGTCAGAGGTTTCTATGGTAATTTATTTAGGAAATCGTAAAGGTCATTTAAATGCTGCTGTTCAAAGATCAGCCTTCGATCATAGGAAATGTGCTCTTTTTTTTTTTTAGGAAGCCTCTTTTCCTTTTGGATCATGAACATTTAATTAAATAAATGGTGTATTCTTTCCAGAAATTTAATATATCTCATTCAAAAGAGGAGGGGGAGAAAAAGCCATTTATAACCCAGGTTTGATGGTGCAATGCATTTGTTAGGCAAAGGGACAGATACATTTGGAAAACTAAGTTATTTTTTGTATGTCATAGGCTATTGGAGAAAAAAGACACTGTTAATAAAGTTTGAATAGAAAAAAAGTGTATCTTCTACGTTTGCATGGCTTTGCAACCTGTTCAGTAGGCGAAAGGAGGCAATCCATTAGGAGAAGATACAAAGGGGTTTAAAAATAAATTCGCTGTGTTCTTTTGAATTCCATCAACAGAGGTGTAACTTTGAAGCTAAGATCAGAGTTAGGTGTTGGGAAGCGTCAGCTCTGTACCGCTAACCCTTCTGCATCTCGCTTCATGAGCCTGGGTCACCCCGTGCATGTTCTGCTTTTCTCATGGCCGGAATTTTGTGATATGACTCATGGATTTGCTGTGTGATATATGTACCCACATCTCCATCCTGGATGTCTCGGGTGGAATTAGCGGACCGCTTCCTGGCTGTAAAATTGATGGTTATAAATAAGTAGTCCTGGTAAAGCGCTTTGAAATCCTTTCACTGAAGACTCAATAAATGCCAAATCCCTTAATGTTTCCAGGCAGCACCAACTTAAAAAAGAAAACCTCCAGCTAATGTTCTTAGTTTAATGGAGCTTAGAGAAACACTTCATACCTTTTTTTTTTTTTTTTTGGTAGTATTTGATGTGTTTAGGGGATCTATGCTGAAATCATATGATAGCCCATTAAAAATTTGCCAAGAATCTTTTAGGCTCTTGGGCAGCAAGTGAGTGCAACCTGGTGCAAGCAGCTGAGAGCATCAGTAACGTTCATGTCATTCGTGCAACTGACATCAAACGGGCTGACTCGGTTGGTGTTAGTGTTTGTAGGGTCACGTCCTAAACATGTGCAGTTGAATATTCACAGCATCTGTAGTACCAGATCATTTCACATTGTAAACATAGGGCAGAATAAAGCAGCATGATAGCAATAATCATCTGTAGATGTGGCAAAGTCTTTTTTTTTTTTTTTTTTTTTCTTCTAGAATCACTGCTGAGTTCTGAGAGCAGCCAGATGTTCAAAAATGTAATATTATTTTTAAACATATGGGTTTGGCATTTTGAAATACCATAAAATAACCTGAAATTCAACTCTGCAGTAAGGAGCGAAAACATTTTGGCCTTTTTTCACGAAGTGACTTAAATGGAGCATTAGTGAATGAAAGAGCAAATAAAAACAATGCCTGCATATTAAGAGAGGAAAGCCTTTATCCAGTTAGAGAGCACTTTCTAATTTTTTTCCTGGTTTTAAAATAAAAAAGAAGTTAGGTTAACACATTTTTGTATGGGATAGACTACATCCCTTAGATATTAAACATATAAATTCTTGTTTCTTTGCCATGAACTCCTATGGCACGTTGTGGGTATTAAATAACTATTGTACTTTAGCCTGATGAAAAAGTTAGCAGTTGAAGAAATAATTATCTGTATATACCAGTTAAGTTTTTCCTGAGGTTCCAGGCTTACATTAAAGATTGTTGTAGGAAGAGATGTTTAAGTGCATTAAATGCACTGTTTCAAACTGTAATTGTATTTTATTGTCCAGGCTGAAGGGGAAATTGCTGTTGAACCTCTTTCTTCCCTTTTTAGATCACGTCTCCATTGGAGGACTCGGGGATAGCTTTTATGAATATTTGCTCAAGGCATGGCTGATGTCAGACAAGACAGATGAAGAAGGCAAGAAAATGTATTATGATGCTGTTCAGGTAAATAAGATATTTAAATCTTTGTTTCCATAATAATCTAATCTATAATCCAAAAGAGACAGGCTCTGGGGACAATGTGAGGGATTTCTGTCTTTGCCACCACAGTGGGGTTTTTTTAAATAATTATTTTCTCTTTTAAAAAGACTTCATCAAATATAAATGCTAGAGCAATACAGATGCTGTGGGAAAGGGGAGAGTCTTGAAGTATACCTTTTTTTTTTTTTTAATTGAAAGTTAGTTCTCTCTAACACTGGAGGAGAAAAGTATGAAATATACAACAACAAAAAATGCATCTACAAATAGCTCTCAGATAGAAGTTAAATTCTTTTTTCCTCAATTTTCCCTAAATATATTTCCTCAGTCCTTTTTCCTTATATCCAGGAGGGAGTTCCTCTCTTGTGCTTTGACTTCATATTTCAGCCGTTAGAATATTTCTGATTGTGGTCAACACAGGGATCAATGTATTATGGTAGATAATTATAAATTAAAATAGAAATTTTTGTTGCACAATGACTTTTTGTTACAGGAGGCATATATTTGTCAGCTTCTGTGAAAGAGCCAATTATTCAAATTGGACACAGGAGGAAGTTTTCAAAAATCAGACTTGTTCATACTTACATTTCTATGTGGTATTTTATTTATGATTCTTCTAGTCTGCAATTTGCTTTGGTATTGATGGTATTTCCATAATATACTGTTTTGGGAGAAATAATGGTTTTGTGACACGGGATTGAGACTCGGAAAGTATTAAGTTTAAATCCATATTTACAGGCTTTCCTTGCAGTCTTGGGCAAATGGCCTATTTTCTTGGTTCCTTGCTTTCAAATATATATAAAAAAAAGGATAATACTACTTCTTTTCTCCCCATCCTTTCATCAGTTTTAACTGGAAGCTCTCTAAGGCCAGGACTTATCTCTTATTAACTGTATGTATGTACAGTGCCTCTGTAGACAAGGCTTCGAGATGCTAAGCAATATCTGCTTATTCTTTCATACTTCTGGAAAAGTGCTGTCCCTAGGGAAGAGACATAAGTCTCCTTTTACTTCCCACACCAAAAAAAAGTGATGGCATTAAAAAAATACAGCCCTGGCTCATTGCAGCTTTTTTTTATTATTATTGCAGAGAAACTCTTATGTGATAATTTGGGGAGGGTGTGATCTCTGCTGGTAGTAAATTTGACGACCAAGTATCCTCTGCTAAGAAAATCCTGCCTTTAATTTTGTAAGTGGAGATTTGGATGCAGTCGGCCTCATTTTCACCACTAACACTGTTTCAGCTTCAGAGCAAAAGGTGGATTTTGAATTAGTTTAAGTGTATTTGAGGCTATAAGAACAGTGATACTGTAATAGCTCAGCCATTAGGTTGGCAGCCAAAAAGAGAGAACAAAGTGTCTGATAATACGATATCAATTCTTCTTACAATGGAAGGCATTTTGAAGCACCTCAAAGCTACTTCAGTCTCCTACTTCCACTGGTTTAATAATGTTGGGTTTTCCTTTTAAATGCATTCTTATACAGGGTAAGTGCTAGTGCATAGACACGCGTGCAGTAAAAAATGTGCTTTTGCTAGTACAGCTATTCTGGAAACCGCTGCAGGTAGAACATCCCAAACGTGGTGTGACGGTCACCCTTGTCGGTGGCACCGTGAGTGCATTGAGTCCTGTCCTGCCGGCGAGCAGCAGGGGCGTGTTGATCCCAGCCGGTAACAGAGAGTCGGAGAAAGCCCAGCATCTCCATGGCCAGCACTGGGCTCCTCCTACTAAAGCTGAAGGTTCACTTTCCCCTGACTTGAGCGCAGCCGAAGCAAGGTACATCGGGAAATCTCTCTTGCCTTACGCCACACGAGCGTGTGTGCCATCCCACATCAGCTGCACGCTGGCAGCGTGCCTGGTCGCTCTTGAGCCAGCCCGAACTGCCCAGCGGGTGAAGAGCTCCCTGCTGCTGGCTGCTCATCGGGGAAGAGGGGTGGGAGTGCTCCGAGGTGTGTCCGTGCGGGGTGCAGCAGCACGGCTTTGTTTAAACTCACACCTTAGCTGTACCAGGATAACAACCTCCTCGGGTACGAAAGGTACTGCAGGCATGCTGAGGTCCTGGTGGGGAGCAGAAATGGTGATGGCCACCACGCTACGCGGCCGGTTCTCCCTGGTGCCATTGAGCTGGCGGAGCAGAGTTGCCTGGTCAGCAGCACCACTGAATGCGGCAATATCAATGACAGGGTCTGAGCTCTGCTATATGTAACTAGATTTAAAGGACCTATTATCATAATATTTTTTAGTAATAATAGCTCTTAAGCAGCCCAAGCATCGTACCTGTCCAGAATATCGGGGGGGCAGGGCAAATGATCACTAAATACATGCTGGATTTTGCCATGCTGCTGGTTGAATGCTATTTCCAGTATTTTCTGAGCAATGGTCTTCATGTTCTCTGTTTTCTATACCAAGCTGTACCAAAGCAGAAAGTGTACAAGCCGCACGCGGAGGTACAGCTTGGCGTTGTAATGTAACTTGTTCAGAAAACAGCAGGGAAGTTGCAGTACCACAGAAACTGCAGAGTGTTGGGGCCCCATTGAGATGCCAGGTTCTTCGCCAGAGTTACTAGCCTGTTTTGAAATCCGTCCTGATATTGGCTTTATTGCTATCGATCCCTTACTTATCTAAATTAAAGCTAATTTAAGTGTCTGCACAAGCTGCTGACTTTTTTTTTATGACTAAGCCTACACAGTTTGGGCATTCTGAGTCTGCTTCATATTTTCTTAGATAAATTTCCCCCGACGCTTTCAGAATCTTTTTAAAACTACGCCAAAGGGAACGGCATGATTGTTCCTAGCCGTTCAGTCCAGCACATACCTACCAAATTCTGAGAGAGTGATGTGAAAGTTTGATGCCTAAATCAATATCTTCCGCTATCCAGAAACCACAAATGAAAATATATGGTGAGTTATAGTTCACTGTGAAAAGCTGAAATTTATTTAGATAAAGCTGTGGGGTTATTTCTTACATTGTTCTGTAACTCATATTAAAAACAAAGACTTCTTTCTATTAGAATTTTTGTAGCACCTATAGATTGTTTTATGGCTTAAGTTAAAAGCAATAACTAAGATGTCAAACTAGATTTAAAAACTTTCTGCTTGCCGTGAATAACATGCGTATTTGGCTGATGCTGTTTAAAGAAGAGTTTATTTCTAATGGGAAAAGGGACAGAAATAGTCTTGTTTTGACTACCAGAGTATAATATGATTGTATTTATAAGGCCATCAGTGGGATTCATAAACTCTAGAATTTGCACAAAAAGACAAGTTGATGTATTTTTAATGTAATTTATTTTTCTCTTTTGAAAAGCAATGCATATAATGTCCTGTTTCACATAATACAGGAAGTAAGAGATCTTCTTAAACTGGTTTCAATGGATAGCATGCAACATTTAGTTACAGAACAAACATGTATGCAGCTTTTAGTCATATTTTGAAGATGTAACTGCCCATAGAATAATCTAAGAGTCTTTGCAAGTATCTGGGACAGGAACCCTTCCACTCTTTTCAGTTAATATAGTTGATCTCTGAGACACAATTGAGTAGGTTTAGCAAGAGAACATAATCTAGAGCAAAAATGGACCTTGTGGGTTCACTTACATCTAGTCTAGTAACTACATCAAATCCTCCCCTCTTGAATATGTCAGCTCTCATTTTCTAAATTGAAGGGCATTTTCGCACTACTACTGTTAATAACTTGTCTCACACTTGATGTCCAGTGGCCAGGTATCTTTTCCAAATATTCCCATTACATTTATTCATGGCCATTGCTGCAAACTTTCTGCATCTTAAATATTTCTTCTCTCTCTCTGACATTGCCTTCATCCCCTCCTCAGTGTATTTCTGGAGAAGTCTGTAAAGAGAGCAGTAACTCAGTACAGAAGAGCTTCACAGCAAGAGGGAGAGTCCCTCGCTAGCACTCCCTAAGCAGCTCGGTTCAGTGCAGGCCATGGTGGCCCCGTGGTTTCAGAGAGGTAAAGTCACTGCAGTCTGCAGTTTCACCTGTAGAAAGGGTAGTTTACTTTTAGACATTTAGATTATTTCTTTTTTAACTGGGTAACAATTGCTGAGAATATTGTAACAAGAAACTTAGCGATCTCCGGAGAACCTAGCACGTGGAAGTAGGAACAATGGAAACAGCAAAACGAAGAGGTGTTGTGAGGCAGTGCCACGGCTGCTCTCTGCCGAATTGCAACCACACTCCTGAAGTCAGCCAGCTGCGAGGCAGGGTTGCACAATTAAGGAGTGCAGTAGCCTTTTGTGGGTGTCAAAAGAGGAAGAAGTCATTTTTGGCCTCAGGATTTTGAGTATTCAGACAGAAAATATATAGGATCACTTTTTAATATTTTACTTTTTTTTTTGACACATTGCTGATTTTGAGACTAACTTTGATACACTCAGTTTGTACTTTGCCAGAGGAAGCTATATGGTTTTGATCTTGTTCTGGGTGGGTTTTTTGGGTATATTTAATTGTCAGCATTAAGTAGTGAACATCACACTGAGTTGTCGAGATTTCAGCCTTTCAGATAACTAAAACAAATCCATGTAGACTCCTTTCTGATTGAAATGAGAGAGAGAACAAAGTGTTGTCAGCAAAATGAAAACGTGATGTTGGCACATAGGTCCCTCTCATCTCCAGAGTTTCATGAGGGTCTGTTTAACTGTGGTGACAGTCTGGCGGCTGGCCTGTGCTGATTGCAGTTTCCATTAAGTTGCTCGAAGTGGTTTGCTTTGTGATCATAGTGATCTTAAAAAAACTACATAACTGATGTGGACAATGACAGAACTGCAACAACTCAATTAGAATAGTTTGTCATACTGGGTAAAGCCAAAAGTATATTAATGAATTGAACATTCAATACTTGAGTGCTTCTTGGCATTGAAGGAAATACGTAAATAGGGCAGGGAGGGTGCTGCGGTAGGAGTCCATCTTCAGAATGAAACAGTTGGTGCAGAGGACCCAGCATTCCCAC